AACCGCTCGTTAACGATTTCCTTCCTTCTATGACATGTCCTTTCTTCTTGCCGGGCTTATTTATATTCGAAGGTCGTTGCGCGATCGGCGTACAATCTTTCGAGCGTAATTCGCGTACTCGATCAATTTGCACGCTAGCATCCGCGTTCGAAACTCGCGTAATCGTATGTAGGTATGTCAGTACCAGCCTATTGCTGTCTTACTTTTGCCCCTCGCAAAAGTAAAACCAAATCGTTTCGTTTCAGGGCATGTGGATAGGATCTGTGATGCCGTTGAGCGCACTGTTCGGAGGCATAGCCGGTGGTCCATGCATCGAGTACCTCGGCAGAAGAAACACTATATTGGCAACCGCGTTGCCATTCATCGCAGGTATGAATGATCGCGCACCGCTTTTTCCTTCGAAAGTTTCGGAGGTGTTCTGTTCGACGAGTATCGCTGCTGTGGTCCCGTCGCCGACGATGCTGTCGGAGTCGTTCGAGTAACGTGTAACGAACAATTCGCTTTTCGATTGTAGCCTGGCTATTCATCGCGCTGGCATCGAACGTTGCGATGGTTCTGGTCGGTCGTGCTCTCTGCGGCTTCTGCGTCGGCATCGCTTCGCTGTCGTTACCAGTTTATCTGGGCGAAACGATACAGGCCGAGGTGCGGGGCACTCTCGGATTGTTGCCAACTGCTTTTGGTAATACAGGTACGACGGCGTGTTCGCCCTTTCGTGTATCCATGCGACCGCTTCTCATCCGGTTTTCTCCCGATTGGACCCGCTAAATATCATTTTCTTCGTTAACCTTCTCCAGGCATTCTGATCTGCTTCGTGGCGGGCATGTACATGAGTTGGAGAAACCTCGCGTTACTCGGCGCGGCTCTACCGATTCCGTTCATGATTCTGATGTTCGCGATTCCCGAAACGCCAAGGTGGTACATCTCCAAGGGAAAGACAAAGAGGGCGCGTAAATCGTTGCAATGGTTACGGGGCAAGGATACCGATATCACCGAGGAGCTAACCGCTGTCGAGAAATTGCACGTCGACAGCGAACGAAACGTATCGCAGGGTGCGTTTATGGAACTGTTCAAGAAGAACCACTTGAAGCCGCTTCTGATTTCTCTCGGTCTGATGTTCTTCCAACAACTGTCGGGAATCAACGCGGTTATATTCTACACCGTACAAATTTTCAAGGTTCGTCCACAACGGCAATACTTTGGCCGCGATTCGTAAACATCGAGAACGACCGTTTCACGGATTTCTCCAACGTTTCCACTTTTTTCAGGACGCCGGTAGCAGCATCGACGAAAACATCTCGACAATCATCGTGGGTATCGTAAATTTCATCTCGACGTTCGTCGCCGCCGCGGTGATAGACAAGCTTGGAAGGAAGATGCTGCTTTACATTAGTGCTGTTTCGATGTGCCTGACACTGTTCACGTTTGGTGCATTTTTCTACGCAAAGGACGCGGCGAAAGCTGACGTGTCGGCGTTCGGCTGGATACCGCTGCTGAGTCTGATAGTCTACGTGATCGGATTCTCCCTAGGATTCGGCCCGATCCCGTGGCTGATGATGGGCGAAATTTTACCGGTCAGGATACGCGGTTCTGCTGCCAGCGTCGCGACTGCCTTCAACTGGACCTGCACGTTCGTCGTGACGAAATCCTACGAGGACATCGTTTCAGTCTTCGGAGCATACGGCACATTCTGGCTGTTCGGTACGATCGTCCTGGTCGGTTTCGTCTTCGTGATTGTTTGCGTGCCGGAGACTCGCGGACGGTCCCTCGAAGAAATCGAGAAGAGATTTACCGGCCCCGTCCGGAGAATGAGCGCGGTCGCCAACATGAAGCCGATGCCGATGGCCTGTTAATCGATTAATAGCCAATCGATCCGTTCGATACCCTCGCGGTTAATGGAGTTGATCGTCTGGCGTAACCAATCGAACGTGTCCTACACAGTTCCTTCGACCGATAACGATGCGTGAAGGCGTGAAACGAGGAGACGATGAACCGTCTTCCGACGCGATTTTTCTCCATCAATATATATACTACTGTTCTCGATTTCTTCCTACCTCTCCCGGCCTGTTTTCTCTCTCTTCTACCGCAATCTTGTTCGTTTCGCGTTACGAAACCGACTAAATTTCTTATCGAAACGCCGTTTGCGTCAACTGTATCGAATAATTCGTAATATTCAATCGAAGATCGAACTGCCGAGAGAAATGAAAAAAAGTCGGTGAGGGATAGGAAAGAGAGAAAAAGGAGAGAAAGAAGAAAGTAGAGCGCTGGCGCGAATTATCGGGTAGCTTGACTTCCTGTACTTAAGGAGACGTTGTTCGGATAGTTTGTACGGTCCGCGACAGAAATACAAATACGATACGATCGTACGATCGGGTTTTGCATTACGATGCAATGACAACGAAAAGGAAGGCTCGTTGATCGAACGTCGTGAATACATCGTTGTTATATTTTTGTTATTCGATAGTTTTACAGGGTCTACTACCTCAGATTAGTAATTTAGCTCTTGCGCAAGGTATACAAATAGGTTAACGACAAATACGACAAAATATTTAATTAGTACACGTGCGCGTAAACGAATGCGGGCTGAACTTTGAAAACTGAAACTTTGCCGGACCAAAAATTATTGACATTTTTTTTATACCTCCTAGTAGTATTCTATTACGTTACGGGTGGAATCTAAAAATGCAAGTTTTAAGTGTAAGAATCCACCGGTTCAAAAGTTATGCGTATGTAAACCTAAGTACTTTTACCGTACTTTACAGCTAGTTTAACGCTATATTGCTTTCTATTGAAAATTCGTCTAACGAGTGGTGTCACTGGATGCTCCTAAGGAGATGCAGGTGGGTGGTGGCCATTCTGGTCGGGTAATTTACATATGATTCAAACCAAAATACTGATTCTGTGTTTTTTTTTTTACTTATTGAGCGGTGTCACTGGCTGTAAAGGGATGCACTGACGCTATTGATTGGACAAATTTTTTATAGAAACCAACATAGCGTTAAACTAATCTGTAAAGCACGTTAAAAATACTCGGTTTTAAATACGCGCGTAACTTCTGAAGCTGGATTCGTGAACTTAAAACTTAGTCAATAATTCTTAGCCCAGCAAAGTAAAGTTTACCTCGAGTGCGAGTGCGGCGCGTTACGCTGCGCATACAGTAATCGGTAGATACAGTGCCGAACAGAAAAAGAACGACGATACCTTTGGGGGTAGAATGTACATATGTTCGTTTCTTTACGATCGCGACAATAAATTTCTACGCGGGGCGAGCTGAGTGTCCTCGCGTGTCTATGGCGCTACCGGTCGTGACGCATCCCGTCGCGTTGGGTTTGTACCTTCACGAGCAAACTCGGCTACCACTAGGGGAAAAAGTGTTGCAAGGGAAAGGCCTCCTACACCACTTGGTCTCGGAGTTCTTCAAAATTTATGCCAAATTAATATTCGGTTTAACAACCTAACCCTACATTTCTTTTTCCCCTAGAGGAAGCCGAGTTTGCTCGTTGGTGTGCATACATACATATACATATACGTGTGTCGAATATATGTATGTATATGTATGTATATCGACTATACGACTTACCGTCGTTATCGAATGCGTCAACCCGCAATTGCATCATCTATGAGCCAATTAAAGCGTAAGGTATGCACAGTTAAGAAACAGAGATGAAAATACTACGCGTTTATTTTTTCAACGTCGAAACTGCTGCAACCTGCGCGAAAACGAACGTCGTAACCGTGATAAGAGTACGCGCAACCGACTCGCATAATTTTGTTAGTTTTCCCAACTTGACATCCGTTTTGATCAGTCTCGGTGGGATGAGATCGAATCAGGTCGGATCGAATCGAATCTCTGTTGTACGTGTCTATCAGCCGATTTTCATATTTTCCCCTCCTATCGTAGACGCATGTTCCGTAACATTGTTGATGTTTCGACGACGATAACGATACGACGATTCGTCGTTGCAATGCCATTCCGAATCTCTCCGCTTTACGATGGGATGAAAAACGACGCGAGACATTCCTATCGTACGGTTTAATGTATATCGAACCCATGGTAACGCAAGCACCAGTTTTCCCTTGAACATGTGTTTTGTACGACAACTCGGATGCGCGTTGCTCTTTCTGAACCGTAACGCTGACGTAGTTTGTCCTTTATACTTCTACCATTGTATTATACTTTGTATTTACCTGACGTATATACATATGTATACTTGTACCATATGGCTCCTGTTCGAGAGCCTAAAGTGCTTGCCAAACTTTTCAAGTTCGAACAAAAGATATCTTTAAAAGCATAACGAGTGCATCAAGTTTATATGTAATTTATAAGTTATTAAAATATAACGTTTGACAGGATGTTTCTTGGCACTTGTTTCTACATCTTTCGCCAAACTTGCTTTCTCTTCATCCCTTTTATTCCGAACGCACGCGCGCGCGCGAACACACACACACACGCACACACACAACAAACCATTTGACCGCTTGCCCAGGTTATCGCATCACGAACTTGCAACGTTCAGATCAATCTCTTCGTTATATTCTGAACGGTCTCACTGATCTTTTGCTATACGTACAAACGTTGCGAGGAACGTACACTCGTACTTATATGTATACATATAAGTATATATTATGCACTGTGGACGCACGCTACTTATTCCATGGAAATATAGAATGTGTTTTCCGACTGAACCATTACCATCGATCGATATCACATAAACATAAACAATGGGTGCTTCTTTTCAAGGCGAGTACCTTTAATAATTGGATTCGCATAACCTCCAGAACTATGTACTACACGGTTATGTCACTTACCCATTACTTGAACGCGGCAAATCGCGCAGGTGTCACACTCCACGTCCCAGCTCCACATGGCTACAGCGTTCCATTTTTTCAGGATGAACAGCTTGTCCGTTTTCAGATTCTCGTTGTCGCCGCGATCTCCAAAATCTTGCTCCGATTCAGCCATTTCCGTTTTTTAGGTTAGAAAGGAAAAAGAGACGCGTAACGTAAACCTTTCGAACAATCGAAATCAGCCGTGATCGCTCGTGGTCACTCCCGCCGCTCTTGCCGCGCTTCAAACTATTACACGCATGCGTGTAGGCGCTTTCTTCAACGATTTTGTCTAATTACGAAAATGTTTAACTCGGAAAATTTTGTCGAATCACAAACCAAGAATTTAACCCTTATCTTCATCCCTCCAAGAATATTACTTGTAGCATGTATGTACATATGTATAGAACGCTGGTTTGTGGTTGGCAGCATTACTACCGATTACGGTGATACAAGGGTTAATATGTATACATATTACATATACGATAGCATACACAGCCAAGGTATTGGACAAACACCCAATGTATTTTTGGAGCCCACTTTTCTGGGGTTACGTTACACCATTTACATTTTAGTGTCACTATCCACTGTAGATTTACCGTTCTTATAACGTAGAGGTCACTAAAACCGCAAGCTTTATTAGATATCGGTACTACAGTTTAGGTGGGCCACTAATGCCCATAAGATGAAAGGTCTACATACATCTGTACGGTACGTGTGCACTTTAGTGAGAGAGAGAGAGAGAGAGAGAGAGAGAGAGAGAGAGAGAGAGAGAGAGAGAGGGGAATGAACTTGCACTGCCATCTGTCGAAGATAAAAACGGGTAGGCACCATGTTGCGATGAAATCCAATCGGATCGGTGTGTTGACGTTGCATCAGGTATCCTTGCAAATTGTGCGATACAGTGCGATATGTATGCGAGTGATTTACGAAAGAACGAAAGTTAGATAACCGAGCAACAAAACGGTGTGTTAGACAAGAAAATTCTCGACTCAGTATGTGAATTACGTCTCAACGGTAACGACGGACACAAAACAGTTGTAAACAAACTAGGGAGATTTGTCTGACTTTTGCGGTGGAAATACTCGCTTGACATAACCTCTGCGTTGCAATTCTTTTCAGATGTTTTGCGTGAAATATGCGAGAAGCGTTAAGCCCTCACCGCTATTTAACTTCCTACCAACGAATCGTTATTCTCGACGTAGTGATAAAAACACAAGCACATACAAAGTGGTTAAGTCGAGCGATGGAAATTTGGACGGTAAATTGTTTTATTCGTTCTTATGTAGTGATGGTGGAGGTGGCATTGGTATTCTCATGCTAATGCAATACATGTCGTAAAACGGCCTGCACCGCAAACATTTGTAAATCCATGAATTATTTTTCCGCTTGCTTTTTGCTAATGCTAGATATGGATGGCGCTGTACTGGGCATCAACTCTAATTGGGAACTGTTGACGCCGAATGGATTTCGATTTTACCTTCCTGGAAGTGTCGGCCCTGGTTGGTCGGATGTAACCACTACTGCGCAGAGAAGATCGCATTTGCTCGACATTTCTAATAACAATGAACAGGTTCCCTTAGACTATACGGATCAACGTGTATCTGGTCGATTGGGTCGATCCATGACTGGTCAAGACCGTACGACGCTCAGATGCGTTGCCCAGGAATGTCCTTTACTTTTGAGGAAAGGTATCGAAGAACTCTTTCCTGGATGCCTGGATGTTGGTTCTCCGCAGCTCACAATAATTACTGTCTGTCAGAAAACTAATTCTAAAACCTCCAGGTGGAGTAGGGAAATGGAAATGGAGGAACTGGCCAAATACGTGAGTGTTCACAAGCGCTCGACGCGAATTAATTAACTAATTAAAACGATCCGTTTCACGTCTTCTTTCGATAGTTCGTACTGGCAGCTTCAGACATTTGTACTAAATTAAAGATGATCGGATACTGGGCCGATTTCATCAATCCGTTCAGCGGGCAACCCCATTTAAGTGTACAAAAGAATAGCACATTGTACAAGACAGACGAGCGTTTTCGTTGTTTAGGATTTAAAATAGTACATAAGAACAATTGTAAAGTTATTTTATACGACAATAACGGTCAAAACTTTATAGGTAAGTATAGAATTATACGCTTTATCGCGGAGGTGATCGCGAAATAATTCACAGACTCGTGACTCGATTACGACGAAGCAGCAAAATCGAATCTGTACGTTGCAGGAAGTCTCTACACCACGGCGCCAGCGAGCACGGCATTCTTGAAGGAGATTCTATACGATTGTGAACATGTAAATCTCAACGAAGCATAACAAAGTGTGTCGATAGAGTGTGAATTTGATCGTGTAGATCGAGACATTGGTTCCACGCGAATGTATCATAAATTTTTTGCGTAATTCTGTATAAATTCTCCGAAAAAAAAAAAAAGAAACGTTAGCAATCGTCTGGTGCAAAGTGTTCTTCCCCCGCCTCTCTCGTTCTACGTTATTTTATGTCGTTTCTTTCCCGATAACGTTGACTGAGAACGCGCAAAAGAACGGTTTCGCTTAATTTTTCTAATCTTGTTTCTACTTAACAAAGATAAGCGACTATCCTAGGTACTATAGAAATTAAAATTTAATCGTAGGTAACTAATACCACCGGCAGGAGAAACGTTTCATACTGTTTGTATGCGTTCATAATCAAACAAGACGACACGATAAAGTCTGCGGCTACGAAACTTTCGTTTCGTAATTCGCAACGATATCGTGAGTGTATCGCAGAAACATACATACATACAATACACACATAACTATGTATCTAACTATATATAGAGAGGTACGATCGAATCCGATCGGGATCGTAACCTGTTGCGTAGAAAGGAAGTGGAAGTAGTATCGGCGCAACGGGAAGGTAGCCCGTCAATCGACTTCCAGTTTCCGAAACGATCCAGGTATACCGCTTAAACTGTCGTTCGAAGAAGATCGACAGTCGCTCGATGAAATCTCTATGCACATCTCGTCCAGCGCCTTGATTCGATCTCTTTGCGCCCTCAACGTTCCCTTAAACTGAGCTGAAAAACAGTAACGAAGCATTTTAATCGATTCGCCGATAATATGTATTTTCAAAAACACGTGTGTGTGTGTGTGTGTGTGTGTGTTTATGTACCGATCATATCGGGGAGTGAGATTTCGCCTCCGTATTCCTTCGGTAAAATTCTTGGATCGATTGCCTCCTTCAATTCGTCGAGGCTCTTGTGCACCTAATCGAGGACAAAACAATAAGTAGTTGTGGTGGATGAAAAAAGAACGTGGAATGCAAAAGCAATGAAGCATACCGAAATTCGAGCTTTCAATTTGTCGTTAAGAAGCGAGATAGCAAATTCGATGATCTTGTTTGCGCAACTTGGAATATTGACAAAGTGCGTTTCCTTGTGTCTCATGGGTGTACTGTTTTGAATACATCGCAACATGTTACGTATGTCCGTGAGAGACCAGGCGCTTAGGTGACCCATTGTTAATCCGGATTCGTCGTTTATGTGCGTATATCCGCGAATTTGATTCTCCTCGTCGTCCATTAGGGCTTCCACAACAAGACTGTGGGCACGAGCCATTTGCGCGGACGTGTATTTGTACGGGTCGAAGCGGCCTTAAACAGACAAAAAAACAGAAACGAACTGTTCACCGTGAAAATGATAAAATGAAGAAACGAACGGAACGATGAAACCTGACAATCGGCCGGGCCCGATAAACCAGCTCGTGATAGTCCGATATTTACCAGCGCAAGAAAGTATCACTCGTCGACCGTGGCGATCCCGTTCAGGCAACGGTACCAGATAGCCGGCGTCGACGATAGCTTCGATGTCTGGGTCTTGGATATCCAGATTCTGGAACCAGTTCGGATACAATTGCCGAATGGTTAGATATCGTTCGAGCATTTCCTGCGCCATCGGCAAACTGAATTTCTTGGTCCTGAGAAACCTGAGGAGAAAAGCCGCGTCGGTTCTGCATCGCTTGATGGTCGAATGTTTCTGAATCCAATGTCTAAATTGATCCAACGTTTGTTTCCTGGTTGTTTCGTCTTCCCGTAGTTCGTCGCGAGCGATCACTTTGGTCGACTCGGTCAACGGCCGTCCGTAATCCTGTTCTCCCGAATTTTCCATCATCACTGCTGTCGCGTCGTTCGAAAGACCAGCTCTATCACTGTTGATCGACAATTTCGGATTTGTTCGTGACACCACTGGCTTCGCGTTGTCGACCCCTCCTTTCTTCTTTATCGGTGTCGCGGCCTCGTTTTGCTCCTTCGAATTTTATGCGAGTTCCACGACGGTTACGAGGCTCGACGAGCGATTCTCTACAGTCTACGCCATTCCATGATTTGCCGTCCAAGAGAAAGTCCGACACCGATCCACAGGCGAGAGAACAGTTGTCCTCGCGGTACTCCGCCGCGCTTTCTATTGCGCGCGCCACACGCGCTTTAAAATCTTTGCGCAGCAGCCTGTTCGTTCTTTTCTCCGGACCCGTTATTACGTTTTCGAAACGATAGTGAAAATTTTCGTTGAAACGCGGAGCGTTCTGGATTTGCGATGACGATGAACGGTACGCGACACATTAATTTCTTATGATTAACTTGGGACTAGTTCATTTTATCAATTAAACTTGGGACTAGTCGCAACTTTCCCTCGTTCGTAAGCCACACAGAAGACTGTATACGTACATATGTACATATAATGTAATATTTCTTTCGAAATGATAGACGAATCGGTCTTGTTCGAATAAAGCCAACTCGGGGCACGATTGCGATCGCGATCACGATCACGGACACGGATACGAAAGTACGGCACAAGCGCGGCGCAACGCAGCGGAGGACGGGTGTTCCTTCTCGACCACAACTTGGACTAAAGTAACCCGCTTGTTTGCCCGCCGGATCAATTTAAAGCGTTGCTCTTACCGTATCTGATGTTCCCGCTCTTACCACCGATACTCCCATCGTTACCGCCTCGATGCACGCGCCTTCTCCTCCCGTTTCTGTTCCCAAGCGTCTCGATCACGTTGATGCTCTTTGCCTTCTCGCCCACGCGCGTCCAATTCACAAATGCGGACTCCACTTCCGAGAACAATTGTTACCCCGTTTAACGAAAACCCGAAGACGAAACCGACAGATTTCCGTGTTTTCGATACTCCTCAAGAGTTTGATACACACGCGTATGTTTGTTCCATGGGCAAGAACACCACGTTTAGAAACGAAACAGTGACCGCTCGAAGATTCACTTTCTTCTCATCATCCTACGGGTTACTTTCACCGTGGCTCCACTTTCGATTGCTTCGATGAACATCGAGGCTATACTCCCTTTTTCCTTGCCGCCTTCGCGAATCGAAAGAACCTCGAACGAAAACTGCCCGGCCGGTTCTTCCTGTTTCTTCACCGACTGGTATCGAACGTGTTTATAGTTTCGTACCAGGCAGGTATCCTCCCAATTTCTGTTCCGTGAAACCGTTCGTATTGAAAGAAACAATGATCCCCGTGTCTCGATGAGTCGAGACTCTGACCAAATTTTCTAAAGTGATCCACCTGTTTCTAATTTCTATCGATTTCCCCGCTAATTAATTGTCTTCAATTTAATGCGTCTTTGTCGACACGACTATGTACATACCGTATGTACACCTGAACCGTCTCGAACGCATTTGCCACAGTCTAAATTAAATGGACTAGCGTTTCTTTGCGTTCGTTCGATTGCGCAATCGATCGTGTGTCACGACATTTCTCGTCTTGGTGAAAGTTGTGCTTCGACTGCATTCAAGATTCCGCACCTTTCTACTCTTTCCTGCGTTACACCCTCGATAACGCATCCGACGAGTCCACGCTTTCTCGAACGGTTCGTACGTTAAACAACAGGCAGAGTTGTGGAAATGATCGAAAGATTCGTTGACGAATGACGACATATACTCTGTGTAGATACATACATACATATGTATGTATATTCTTCGAGAAACACTCTCGCGACGCTTAGCTGGAATACCGTCTTTGTGCCAGTTTCCGTTCGACTGCCATTCAATCACCGGGATAACGCGTAATACATCACCGCGCGAAAGGAGGGAACGCACGGACCTCGTGGTTTGTCCTTCGGATGACGTTCACCTCTGTGTCGTAACCACGCGCGGAAATTGGAACGTAGACCTCTGTTGAAAAACAATTCAAGTGCGAGAAGGAAGGGTAGAAAAATAAACTACGACGTTTCTTTCACGAACGGCATGTAATTGGCATACAACGTACGCGTATAATGATAACGTTGAACGGGTCGGACGAGGACGAGAACGAGAACGGGAACGAGAACGAGAACGAGAACGAGACGAATCGACTCGCCGAGTAAGATGTTCGACTACTTATTTGTACCGGTGTTGTCGGCATCCATCTTGGCGAGAGACGTCGTGTCGTAGCTAAAGGGTTCCCTCGGTTCGAAATCATCTTGGGTAAGGGAGACGATATTTTCCCAAAACGTGCAAGAACCGTGCATTGAACAGAATTGTCGAAAAGTGGAAACGGAGCGATCGCTGCAGCGACCAGATAGGACTCTACTTTCTATCCGTTTCCCAGCATCTTTTACGTTTCGTTCTCCCCCCCGGGAAAAGGGCCAGCGTCCGAGGTATTCGATGAATCATCTTAGAATAACGTTGTCGAACGTCAGATCTCTGCTATCGTGCTGCGCGACGGTTGATTTTTTGAACGGATTCCAAGGTAGTTTCTTCGCTACGTGTGCAGTGGTGACGGAACCGGCGGGACTCGGTTGACCGGACGAAACACCGGAAGAGCTGCTCGCGGAAACGCTTCCCTTGTCCTGTTGATTGGCCTTGCCCGGCCTCTGGAACAAGTAAATCTCGCGTCAGCTGAACGGCGATCGACGAGATTCAGGCGACACGTGCCTGTAAAAAGACGTCTTCGTGGTTGAGGAACCACGGGGAACCATCAGGGGATCGTTGTCGTTTACCTTCAAATAATTTCTATCCATCGGTGTGACCAGTTTCAAATTAATGAAATCTCCCGACTGTTTGATTAGTCGCACCACCTGTTCGTGGGACGACCACTTTACGTCTTTGTCGCCGATACCTACTATGAAATCGCCTTCCTTCATTCCACCCAACTGCAGACAAATCGATACGGATCGAATAACGGATAATCGAAGCCGAATCGAGCGATTAAGGGACGAACCGACGCGACGGTTAAGTACTGGTCATACTTACGTCCGCCAAGGAATTATGATCGACCGCCGCGACGATCACCGGAGCATCACCGCGAACGCTAAAACCGAAGCCCTCGCCGTCGGGGCCCCTTTGGAGCTGTATTAAACGTGGAGCTGTCCAGTGTCTTTTAGCCGAGAATATGGCCACCGGGCCCAAAGATCGGAAAAGATCGTCCACTCCGTGCTGCCCAAAGTCCGGATGCGTGATGTTCAGCTGAAACTTGGTGGAGGCTGTTTCCGGATGAAAAACAACATACATACATACAGACATACTTGCATTGATATTTGTCAGAGAGACGAACGCGAGCAACAACGGAGGGAAGAAGTCGTTAGAAATGTTAGAATGGAATCGAAACGATCTTTTGTCTCACCAACGATATCCGGAGGGTCTAGCAATCCTCGAAAGTCTTCTTCATCCCCGATACCATTGTAACTTTCGACAGTCGATTCCTGTACCCTCTTCAGAACTTTGGCAAGCTCTTGTTTCGCTTTCAGGTCTCTACACATCCGCTGCAGCCTCTGACTTTCCTCGTGAAGGACCAGAGCCTCTCGGAGGTGGGCTTTGCCTGAAACGCGAACGATTTCGTGTTCGGGTGTTTGTTGAAAAGACTGTTGATGGCTACCCACCTAACACTTTCCTCTCGTTCTCGTCGCGCGGCACGGACGCGTCCAGCTGCGTCTTCCCGTCGCTTTTTTGAACGTGTTCGAGCGCGAGTTTGGTTTCCGCGCGCCATTCGCCGATCGGACGGTCAAACAGTCCGATCGCGAGGTGTTTGTGGGCGAGAGCGAGATGATGTTCCCGCTTCACCGAAATCAACGAGATCCATGTCTCTGGAACGTAATCCCGTACGGGTTGCCGCGAGATCAAACCGTGAACCTCGCTGTAGACCGTCGCCACCTATGCAATCGACGAGTGTGTGCTCAGTGAGCAACGAATTCTAGGTAGGTACAACGAATACAAAGCCTGCTACCTGTGACGCTTCCTGTGCCAGATCCAGAGAGACGTCCATGTTCCTCCCCTCGGCCGACTGAAGTTCCAGCTTCTCGAACAAACATTCTCTCGCCTGGGCCTGAAATAGAGAACGGTTACATCTCCCCGTGACCGTCGTCGAATTCGAATCCGCGCGGTTTTTACCAGCATCAATTGGACGAGCATCTCGAGCATGTCCGGCCCGAGATCCATGCTTGGCGCGTTGGTAAAGTTTTCGTGTATGTAACGAAAGGTACCAGCGGCTCTGAGGAACGCGTCGATCGCCTGGTCCAGTCCTCGCGCGGACCGACGATCCTGCTTCGCGGCCAATTGAGTGTACAGGGCTCCCGCATTGAACAGCACCGAGGCCTTCTCGAACGCAACCGTTCGTTGGCAGCTGGGAACTCCTGTCAACGAATCGAACCATTCGAAATAGATGCCGAGACTGCGATCGGGGGGAAAGAATCGTCGTTCAACAAAGTACAGTTGGTTGTAGTAACGAAGCAACAGCGCGATTCCAGCCGTGTCCCTGGTCGGCGTTCGGGTCGCCTATAAAACATACGCGTCATCATGACGTATTTCACTAGATATTTCACGGTATATTGCCGACGAAAATCCCCACTCCTCTCACCTGTCTGGTCTCCATGAGGTCTGCGATAGCTTCCTCGTAGTTTCCTCCGTCTTCGCTGTAGTGCTCGAGAATGAAGTCCTGCAGCACACGTAATACACGTCGATAGCACGCCCGATTAATTCGTTCGATTTCCCGAAATAGCCAAAGTTTCGAACGAACCGTTAAATCGATAGACGTCGTGCCGTTCCGGGTGCTTGGTAACCGCGAGTCACTTTACCGGAAGGAAGAGTTGCTTGCTCGCGCGGAGTATCTACGAGGCAAACATGCCGAGAATCACGCTTGATCTCGTACGAAAGCGTTCCGAGCACAACGAGGGTGAAATAGCCACGCTCGTGGAAATTGCTCTTCACCAAGAGAATATCGAGAAAATCGAGCTGCTCGATCGCGCGTGCAAAGACCTGAAGATTCTGCTGTTGCAGAATAATCTGATCGCGAAAATCGAGAATCTGAGCAGACTGAAGAGGCTCGAGTATCTGAACTTGGCGTTGAACAACATAGAGGCGATCGAAAATCTGGAAGGCCTCGAGAGTTTGAGAAAGTTGGACCTGACCGTGAACTTTATAGGCGATCTACGAGGAATCCAGAAGTTGAGGTAAATGTTCGCGCTGTGTAGATGTCCTGCTATTCGCGGGTTTGTGTCTCGCGTCACACGTTAATCGCCCTCCTTGTTTCTTCTACCGACAGATGCAACGACAGTTTGGAACAGCTTTTCTTAATGGGAAATCCGTGCGCGGATTACGACGGATACAGGGCGTATACAGTGGCCACGTTGACGCAACTAAAAGAATTAGATGGGACGCCAGTCGAGAGATCCGAGCGGATCAAAGCGCTTCAGTCTTATTCGACGATCGAAGGTGAGATCATTCGGAGTTTCGGCAACTATAAAACTGCAAGGGAAGAAGAAATTGTTGGTCATCGCGCAAGTACAGCAGTCGAGGACGCGATAACGACAGCGTACGAGAACGAGAACGAAGAATTTTGGAACCGAGTCAGTCGTCACACACCCGAGGAACGCGTAATGATTGCCAAGCGATCTTTACAAAGGGAAGAACGGCAAAGCGGTCGGCAAAAGGAGACACGAATCATCAATGAACCAAAACTGTTTAATTCCGAGGGAAAAGCGTGTAACGCGAACCAACCGAGGATCCCGTTCAAGCTAAAAGACGACGAACCGGGTCACGTCGTTTTACAGGTTTCTGTCTACAAGTATGTGCAAGTACGATTCAATGTATCGTACGAGGAGATCCATGGATCGAAGCTGTGTGTATCGGTAGATCTCTGTTTTCAGGTATCTGGACACAGATTACGTCGACGTGAACGTGCAACCCGATTACATTCGAGTCACGATCAAGGGTAAGATCTTGCAGCTGAGACTGCCTTGCGAGGTATCGGTGGAGGGTAGCAAGGCCAAGAGAGACACAACGACCGGTAAGTTGGTGGTGACGATGCCAAGATTGAATCCGTTACCAATTCTCCGAAAGAGAAATCCTGATCGGAACAAGGAGCCGATCATGCGACAACGATCGTCGCAATCGATCCGACAATACTTGGAGATCGGTCCACCGTCGGACGAGTTAGATTTTTCGAGAATCGTCGATCGAAACCAACATCCTGCACGAGGGGTTGCGCGAGCAATCACGGAATGCACGAGAAATGGATGCAACGACAGGGACGACTGCGACGATTCCGACGTTCCGGCTTTAGAATAACGTTCGGTGGCTCGCTGCTCACGTTACCGTCGCATTCTGACCCATTGCGATACACTTCGCTCACCTTGAACGGGTCCCGAAAGTCGATATCTTTGGTTTCCTTCAGTCCCAGGGGTATCATCGGCATTGCTGGTTCGACGCTGAAAACACACATGGCAGAGTGCAACGGGGGGTGGATTGACTGCGTCGTTCGAAACGCGAATCCTTTCTTACCAACCTGTCGACATTCTGGTAGAGTTCTACCGAGCTGTTCAGCTCGGCGAGCTGTTCCTTCAGCAACTGCAAGTTCGAATTGACGAAGCTCAGCTCCAAAGCAACCGTTTCGCGGAGTTTTCTGTTTGTGGTCGCCCTGAAACAGAAAGCATCGTATAATTCAAATTTTGAGAGTTTTCAGTTTTCAGTTTTCAGTTTTCACGGATTCTTACTTGAACAGATTCTCCGCGCCAGCCCGAAGTCGCAGTTCCTTGTTAATTTCCTGGTTAAGTTTGCTTCGTTTGTTCTGCAATTTGCCCCGGCAAGTGGCGACCCGTGGATCGGAGCCCTGCAGAAACGAACTTCATTAAAAAATAGTAGCGATCGAATAGAAAAAACGTGTGGGTAAAAGCATCTGCAGCAGTCTGCGCTTTGCAAAACCCGTGAAGCACCGATTCGATTTCACGTATCACCGAATCACGCAGCGGTCACAGTCCAACGCTCAATATGCTCTGTTCTCGTGTTTTTCTCACCCCGAGAGATTTTCTCGTCGTCGAGGATTCTCGGAAAATGTCCGATCGAGAGGGGGAAGGCTTTCTTCCTATGCGCACAAACAGCGGTCGCGACACCGCATTATCGCAGTCCGTCCTCTTCTCCCGTTCGTCCAAAGACGGAGTTGGTGGAGATGCGCGATTCTTCGACGGAGGCGCATAGCAAGTCCACTTCAACATAGTATTCGCTCTCGTAGCCGCATCGTTCGTCTCCGACTATTCTTTATCTCTCGTGTCCACTCGAAGCTGCGAATCGGAAAGTCGCTTTTTTCGTTGATCGAACACGAGTGGTAAACAGGCGGCGGACTGGAACGAGGAATGAGGACGACAGGTCGAGGGAGAGGGAGGGACGACTGTTGATAAAGGCAGAGAGAGAAGAACGGGCAGGATAGGAGAGGACCAGATCTTGCTATCCGTTGTACCGTTCGGCACGTTCGGCTTGACCGTAATTTTGTGTTTCACAATTCGAGACGTATGCATGTATTCGTGAATCTTCGGCGCTTTGTTTGAGAAAAATGTACCGCGCGTCGCGTCGTGGCGGCTGCATTCGCCGCGAAATGAGATTTCGATCGTGCTTGTCTTTTTTCTTTTCTTTCGTTTCTTTCTTTTCTTTCTTTTCTTTCTTTTCTTTCTTTTTTTCGAATAATAATTCTAGTCGGCTATTTCCGACGAACGACTCGGCCGTGCCGATCGATATTACCGTTTAGCGACCGACAACGATGAGAGATCCCTCTCGCATCGCACTGTTCGCCGGGTAGACTCTCGGCTCTCGGCAACGAGTTGGACCGATTCCGCGGAGCCAGCCGGCTCTCGGTGAAAGGAAAGGAACGGTGGGGAGAAGGATAACGCGTCCGCTCTATCTGCTCGGACACGGGCATGGGCAGGAGCGCGTACGCATACGCATACGCGTATACTTAATATGCGGTCATAGCGTTTACGTATCGCGGAAATTTTGAGGTCGACACACTCCTGTTTATCCGACTACGAACACTACAGAGCTATCGGCCGATCGGTGAAAAATCCACGTCACAGCATGCTCGTATGGTCGGCGTCGGTGACACGTTTTGCCACGGAGGTGAACGTGAAATGATAACATCGTAGAGAAAAATAGAGGATCGATTCTTTGGCGTAAATAGCTGATAGAGACGAGAAACGCGGTCGAAGAGTTTAGGCTCGGGCACCTTCCGTCCGAACGGTGAGATCGAAGGGAGGAACGAGTTTGACGCGGTGCTAAGATGTAAACGCAAACACGAGGCTCCGGTAACGGTATCAAAGTTTCTTTTGCCTATTTCTACCGACGCGAGGACGGCCATGTTCTCGTAATCTGGGATTTCATCGAACGGTCGAGAGTTACGCGTTCTCCTATACACCGACAATCGAGCGGACCAGGCACGCTCTACCGGATTCGAGGAACGCCGTTTATGTCCGCGTTGCAACAGGAAACGCTGCGCTACCCCGTTGCTCGAACTGCTCTTGTCCGGTTTAGTCTTGTCTGGTCTGGTCTGGGTATGGCCTGGCCCTCGCCTGATCCTCTGCCAGCCGATACTAACAATCTTTCCGATCGACCGTTCAACATTTCTTCGACGTGCTTTTAGCTTTTAGCGATCGAACAGAATACACTGGAGCCAGAAGAATTTCATGCGGACGCTTTTCGCGGATAGATTTCTAGGAGATTTCAATGCTCACCACCTCGATCGTTCTCGGGACGGATGGTTCTAGAAGCGTTGGGTTGCTCTGACCGTGAGACGATTGAGAAACGATAGAGACGGGACGCGTACCTATTTAGACGAAACATAATGCTACGCGAAAAAGCGTGCCGAGACCCGGATTACAGAATCGGGAGACTTCTATTTACCTGTAACTTTAAATCCGGAAGTATCAACATGGTTCTTGATTCAATCGAAAACTGGACTATTCTCGTTAAAACGTTACACTTTGATACGTGATTGTTTTTCGACCGTGTGCCGTTCGGATCTCTTGCTCTCTCTCTCTCTCTCTCTCTCTCTCTCTCTCTCTCTCTCTCTCTCTCTCTCTCTCTATCTGTTTCCGCGAATTGCGTTCCTCAAAATTTTTACGGACGAGTCGAGGAAACGATTCGCCACGAATAACGATATCGGTTAAAAGAAACTCATCGGCCCGAAGCAATCGCGGTCTCGCGATCGCACTTGCGACACAACGATCTACTCATTTCCCCGGTTACATAGCTCGTCGCACGTCTCGATCGAATAGACGGAAAGAAAGGACACGGATCGCGTTTCACTCACGACACTAACCGACGCGGAAATTGCGGAATCGCGTCATTCGTTCGCACGAAAGCAAGGTGTACACGTCTCGTTCTGTCTCGTTCGACGTTTCCTCTGCCGAACGTTTCTTTTCTACGGGAAAGCGTAATTCCCAGGGCCGAGGAACGGTGTTGCGTTCGCGAACAGGAGGGAGAATAGAACGGGGTGGGAGGGAGAGAGAGAGAGAGAGAGAGAGAGAGAGAGAGAGAGAGAGAGAGAGAGAGAAAGAGTCCTCCTCTCGGCTAGACCGAGCAAAGATCCGCGGATCACCGTTGACTCGCGTCAATCGGCGCGCACTGCGCACTGCGCAACATGCACAACATGGCCCAACGGTTGCTCACCTTCCGCGGTGTATTCTTTCTGGCTGTCTACCCGGTCTACCGATCGGGGCCGTACGTCCCCGACCCACCCCCACTCTTTTATACTCGTCGTCTAGCGACTAGCGACTCTTCCAGTCGGCGGGTTTCGCTCCCGATCGTCGCTACTCGCCCGACTTCGTCTTTGTTCGGATCTTGTCGCATCCCGTCGCGTCGCTTCGTACCGCTTCGCGACGAACCGGGTTCAGGCGGTTCA